TGTAATTTGTTTGGGAGCTGGGTGGTGGGCCCATTAAAGAGTAAAGAACAAAGAGTAATAAAACAACCAACAACAAAGTGCTATGTAGCTGATGATGGCTATGAACTCATGACTCCTGACTCTACTTCCCAAATACTGGGGTTATAACTCTGTGCAACTATTCCCACTCAAAAGTCTGCTTTTTAAAAAAGTTATACCATTACATTTCAAGATCTCAAGAGACCTGGGTGTGGAATCCAGAACAGGGGAATGGACAGAGAGTGGGCTAAGGGTTGAGCCAAGTTAGATAAAAATCCACAGGGAACAAAGGTGAGAGGACCGAAGGTCTACACTTTTCCCAGAGAACCTAGGATTCCTTAGGATGGGCTTTCTATTCCCCTACCCCTTTGAAGGATGGAGATGGAGGCACCTATGTGACCAGGAAGATCCTTGCAGAACAGGCAATAAACCCCCTCCCAGCAGATGTTTTTCTTTAAATCCAGGTTGCCAGTGTTCAGTTTCAAATAAAAAAACTAAGGCCAGTTACATTTAGTGTTGTGGCATAATATGTATTACATTGTGTCTTACTTCTCTGAAAAGTTTCCTAGTTTTCTGAATTACTAATATTTAGTGTTTTTTTATTCTGATGTGCACATTATCAGTAACCTTTGTTATATCTTAAGCTCTCAATTTTGTTCATCATTGTTCTTCTCTGTGTTCAGCATTCCTTTAAGAATTTTGTACAATGACAGCTTAGTATTTGTGCAGTGATTTATTTTAGGCTTACCATGTAAGGCTGTAAATTATTCTTTGATTTCTATTGGATAACACAGCTGACTACAACTATCTCACTTGGCAATTTTGTTTGTTTCAGGGCATGAAAAAAAAAGCCTATGCTTTCTGGTAGTAGAGTTTCAGCTTAAAAACCTATTGTGCTAATAGGTAACCACACACTTGCCTGTTACCACTTTCCTTATTCTGTGCTCTTGACATTTTAACTACTCATACAATGTCTTGAGAAAAGTCTTTTTGGTACAAAATCACATCAATTTGTGCATCTGAATGGCGGCTTCCATTGCTGGATGATGTGCCTTTTTGTTTTGTTTTGTTTTTAGTTGGTTTTGGGGGAGGACTAAAGTTGTGTGATTTTCTTCTACAAATTCATAGAATATGTTCTTGATGTTTGGAGTCTACTTCACATCCTCCTCTCTACCCCACAGACTCACAGGTGCCATCTCTCAATCATTCACAAGGGGGTCTTAACTGCTGTGTTCATGGGTATTCTTCTTCCTTCATGATCATCTTCCTGCAAGAATTCCTTATCTTCATTTCTTTATCTTCTTTCATCTACATCATCTACTCCATTGCTATTTTCTAATGAATGCTTTACTTATTGAGCTTTTTTCCTTTAAAGATTTCAAAAAACTGTATTTTGTTCCTATTTTATTATGAAGAAATTTTCTATTCATTTTGCATATTAACCTTAGAACCTCCTGTCCTCCCTCCTCCCACCCCCCAGCCTTCCCTTCCAACTCACCTCCCATCTCCACCTCCTCCAAGGAAAGGCCTCCCATGGGGAGTCAGCATAGCCTAGTACATTCAGGTGAGGCAGGTCCAAGACCCTTCCCCTGCACCAAGGTTGTGTAATATATCCCACCATAGGCACTGGGATCCAAAAATCCCACTCATGCACCAGGGTCAGACCCTGATCCCAGTGCCGGGGGGTCCCTTAAGCAAGTCAAGCTAAACAACTGTCTCTCCTATGCAGAGGGCCTAGTCCAGTCCTATGGAGGCTCCACAGCTATTGCTCCACAGTTCATGAGTTCCCACTAATTTTGCCTGGTCATCTCTGTACATTTCTCCATCGTGATCTTGATGTCCCTTGCTCATAGAATCCCTATTCTCTTCGACTAGACTCCTGGAGCTCAGCATGGTGCTTGGCTGTGGATCTCTGCATCTGCTTCCATCATTTAACGGATGAAGGCTCTGTGATGACAGTTAGGATATTTACCAATCTGATTACCAAAGAGGCCAGTTCAGGCACCCTCTCCACTACTGCTAGTAGTCTAAGGTTCGGTCATCCTGTGGATTCTGGAGAACTTCCCTAGCACACCAACCCCACATCTGACAGCAGGCTGATTTCAAAATATATGAAGAATTCAAGACACTAGATATCAAATACCGAACCATCCAATTAAAAAATGGGCAACAGTGTTAAACAGAGAATTCTCAACAGAAGAATCTCAAATGGTCAAAAAACACTTAAGGAATTGTTCAACATTATTAGTCATCAGGGAAATGAAAATCAAATTGACTCTGAGATACTATCTTACACCTGTCAGAATGGCTATGATCAAAAACACTGATGATAGCTTATGTTGGAGAGGATGTAGACCAAGGGGAACACTCCTCCACTGTTGGTGGGAGTGCAAACTTGTACAGCCACTTTGGAAATCTGTATGGCAGTTTCTCAGAAAATTGAAAATCAATCTTCCTCAAGACCCAGCTATACCACTCTTGGGCATATACCTAAGAAATGCTCAATCGTACCACAAGAACATATCTCAACTCTGTTCACAGCAGCATTATTCGTAATAACTAGAACCTGGAACCAACCTAGATGCCCCTCAACCAAACAATGGATAAAGAAAATGTGGCACATATACACAATGGAGTACTACTCAGCAGTGAAAAACAACATCATCAAATTTGCAGGCAAATGAATGGAACTAGAATCTATCATCCTGGGTGAGGTAACCCAGACTCAGAAGGACAAACATGGTATGTACTCACTCATAAGTGGATACTAGATGTAAAGCAAAGGATAACCAGTCTATAGTCCACAGCTCCAGAGAAGCTAGCTAACAAGGAGAACCCTAAGAGGAATGCATAGATTGCCCTGGGAAGGGAAAATAGATGAGATCTTCATGAGCAAACTGGGGGTGACAGGTGGCAATGGAGAGTAGGGGATGTGGGATGAGAACAAAAGGGAACAGGAGGTTTGAGCTGGAACAGGGATAGAGTAGGAGAGCAAGGAAAGAGATACCATGATAAATGAAGACATCATGGGAATAGGGAGAAACAGGGTGCTAGGGAAATTCCCAGGAATCTACAAGGATGACCCCACCTTAGACTACTAGCAATAGTCGAGAGGGTGTCTGAACTGGCCTACTCTGGTAATCAGATTGGTGAATACACTAACTGTCATCATAGAGCCTTCATCAAGTAACTGATGGAAGCAGATGCAGAGATTCATGGCCGAGCACCAGGCCAAGCCCCAGGAGTCCAATCACTGAGAGAGAGGAGGGATTCTATGAGTAAGTGACATGGAGATCATGATGGAAAAATGTACAGAGATGGTCAGCCAAACTAGTGAGAACTCATTAACTGTGTACCAACTGTGGAGCCCCCATGGGACTGGACTAGGCCCTCTGGATAGGCAAGATGGCTGTTTAGCTTGAACTGTTTTGGAGGGCCCCAGGCAGTGGAATCAGGATCTGTCTCTGGTACCTGAGCAGGCTATTTGGAGCCCAGTGCCTATGGTGGGACACCTTGTATAGCCTTGTTGCAGGGGAGATGGGCTTGGACCTACCTCAGTTGAATGTATCAGGCTCTTCTGACTCCCCATAGGAGACCTTGCCTTGCAGGAGGTGGGAATAGGGGGTGAGTTGGAGGGGAAGGTTGGAGGGCAGGAGGAGGGAGGAAGGAAGGAGGAAAGGGAGATCTGTAATGGGTATGTAAAATGAATAGAAAATTTCATACCTAAAGATTCTGATGAAATCCAGAGAACCATTAGGTCATACTTCAAAAACTTGTATTTCACAAAATTGGAAATTCTAAAATGAATAGACAACATTCTTGATAGGTATCAATAAAAAAATTAAATCAAGATCAGATAAACAATTTAAATAGACCTATAACCTGTAAGGAAATAGAAACAGTCATTAAATTCTCACAACTACAACAAAAAAGACCAGGGCCAGATGGTTCTAGTACAGAATTCTTTCAGAATTTTAATGAAGAGATAATACCAATAGTCCTCAAATTGTTCTAAACAATAGAAACAGAATGAATACTACCAAATTCTTGTTATGAGGTGACATTTACCCTCATACCAAACCAAACAAAGATGTAACAAAGAAAGAGAATTACAGATTAGTCTCCCCTATGAATATTGATGCAAAATACTCAGTAAAATACTAGCTAGCAGAATCTAAGAACATATCAAAGAATTATCCACTATGATCAAATAGGCTTCATCCCAGAGATACAGGGATGGTTCAATGTACAAAAATCTGTCAATGTAATCCACCATATAAACAAACTGAAAGAAAAAAAAAGCACATAATTATCTTACTCGATACTGAAAAAGCCTTTGAAAAAATCCAACATGCCTTCATGATAAATGTCCTGGAGAGAACAGGGATACACGGTGCATACCTAAACATAATAAAGGCAATATACAGCAAACCAACAGCCAACATTAAATTAAATGGAGAGAAAGTCTAAGTGATTCAGCTAAAATCAGTGCAAGCCAAGGATATCCACTCTCTCCATATCTAACCAATATAGTACTCAAGGTTCTAGCTAGAACAATAAAACAACAAAAGGAGATCAAGGAGATTCAAATTGGAAAGGAAGAAGTCAAACTTTCACTATTTGCAGATGATATGATAGTATACATAAGTTACCCCCAAAAAATTTACCAAGGAACTCCTATAGCTGATAAACACCTTCAGTAATGTGGCTGGATACAAGATTAACTCAATAAAATTAGTAGACCTCCTGTATATAAATGTTAAATGGGCTAAGAAAGAAATCAGAGAAACAACACCCTTTACAATAGCCACAAATAATGTAATATATCTTGGGGTAACTTTTACCAAACAAAGGAAAGACCTATATGACAAGGATTTTAACTCTTTGAAGAAAGAAATTGAAATAGATATCAGAAAATGGATAATCTCCTATATTCATTTATCAGTGAGATTAACATAGTAAAAATGGCAAACGTACCAAAAGCAATCTACAGATTCAATGCAACCCCCATCAAAATCTCAACACAATTCTTCACAGAACTGAAAAATGGAAAAACTTAAAACCCAGGATAGCCAAAACAATCCTGTACAATTCAGGAACTTCTGGAAGTATCACCATCCCTAACCTCAAGCTCTACTATAGAACTACAGTAATAAAAACGGTTTGGTTGGCATTAAAAACAGACAGGTGGATCAATGGAATCGAATCAAAGACTCCAGTATAAATCCACACACCCAAGATCACCTGATTTTTGACAAAGAAGCCAAAAATAAACAATGGAAAAAAGAGAATGTTCAACAGAAGTTGGTGGTATAACTGGATGTCAACATGTCAAAGACTGCAAATATCTCCATATCTATCATCAATCAGAAAACTCAAGTCCAAGTAGATCAAAGACCTCAACATAAATCCAGCTACACTGATCCTGATAGCAAAGAAAGTGGGATGTAGCTTTGAACGCATTGACGCAGAAGACCACTTCCTAGATATAACACCACCAGCACAGACACTGAGATCAACGATTAATAAATGGGACCTCCCAAAACTGAAAAGCTTCTATAAGGCAAAGGATATGGCAAATAAGACAAAAAGGCACCCTAGAGACTGGGAAAACATCTTCTCCAACCCCACATCTGACAGGAAACGGATTTCCAAAATACATATAAAAAATAACTTAAGAAACTAGACATCAAAATACCAAATAATCCCATTTAAAAATAGGTTCCAGATTTAAACAGAGAATTCTCAAAAGAAGAATCTCAAATGGCTGAGATACACTTAAAGAATTGCTCAACATCCTTAGCCATCGGGGAAATGCAAATCAAAATGACTCTGAGACACCATCTTATACCAGACAGAATGGCTAAGTACAAAAATGTTAATGACAGCCTATGTTGGAGAGGATGTGGAATAAGTGGGACACTACTCCACTGATGGTGGGAGTGCAAATTTGTACAACCATTTTGGAAATTAGTATGGCATTTTCTCAGAAAATTGGGAATCAATCTACCTCAAGACCCAGCAATACCACTCTTAGGCATACCCCCAAAGAATATTCAATCATACTACAAGGACACTTGCTCAACTATGTTCATAGCAGCATTATTTGTAATAGTCAGAACCTGGAAACAACTTAGTTGCCTCTCCACTGAAAAATGGATAAAGAAAATTTGGTACATCTACACAAAGAAGTATTAATCAGCAGTGAAAAATAATGGCATCATGAAATTTGCAGTCAAATGGATGTAATTAGAAAAAAAAATCATCCTTAGAGAAGTGACCCAGACACAGAAAGACAAACACGGAATGTGCTCACTCTTAAGTGGATATTACATGTAAAGCAAAGGATAACCAGGCTATGATCCTCAGCCCCTGAGAAGCTAGGTAACAAGGAGGACCCTAAGGGAGATGCATAGAACTCCCTGGAAAGAGAAAATAGATGAGATGTCCTAGGTAAACTGGGGGTGGGGTAGAGGGGCAGGGATGGGAACATGAAGGATCAGGATGGTCAATCAATTTGGGGGCAAGGTGTAGGGAGAGATTAATGAAAGAGATATCTTGATAAAAAGGGAGCATTATGGGTTTAGGGAGAACCTGGTGCTAGGGAAATTCCTAGGAAACCACAAGAATGACCCCAGCTAAGACTCCTAGCAGTAGTGGAGAGGGTGCCTGCACTGGCCTTGCTTGGTATTCAGATTGTTGATTATCCTAATTGTCACCATAGAGCCTTCATCCAGTAACAGATGGAAGCAGATGCAGAGATCCACAGCCAAGCACTGGGCTGAGCTCTGGGAGTCCAGTTGAAGAGAGGTAGGAGGGATTGTATGAGCAATGGTGGTGGGGAGGGAGGTCAAGATCATTCTGGGGAAACCCACAGAGACAGATCACCTGAGTTTGTGAGCTCACAGACTCTGGACCAACAGCTAGGGAGCTGGAATGGGATCAACCTAGGCCATCTGCATTTGGGTGACAGTTGTGTAGCTTGGTCTGTTTGTGGGGTCCCTAGCAGTGGGACCAGGTCCTGTCTCTGGCACATGAGCTGGCTCCTTGGAACCTGTTCCCTGTGGTGGGAATCAATGCCTTACCCAGTCTTGATTCATGGGAGAGGAGTTTGGTCCGGTCCTGCTTCAACATATTATGCTGTGCTTTGTTGACTCCCATGGGAGGCCTTATCCCTTCTAAATGGAGATGAAGGAGGAGTGGATGGGGGGGTGGTAGAAGGGAGGTGGGAGTGGGAATGGGAGGAGAGGATGGAGGGGAAACTGTGAGTGGTATGTAAAATACATAAATAAACAAATTAATTAATTAAAATATCAGACAACACATTTCCTTCAGAAATCATGAATCTCATAATAATGGTAATGAATGCTGGTTGAACTGGATGATCCAAATACATCCATACTTATCACCCCAAAAACTCAACTCCGAATGGATCATAAACATCAACAGAACACGAGATTCACTAAATCTGATAGAAGAAAAAGTGAGGGCATAGCCTTTAACTCAGTGGCACAAAAAGACTGAACATAACACTGTTAACACTAAGATCAAAATTTAATAAATATGGCCTCATGAAACTGAAAAGACTCTGAATAGCAATGGACATTATTATTTCGATAAAGCAGAAGCCTACAGAGTTAGAAAAGATTTTTACCAACTACACACTCATTGAGGACTAATATCCAAAATATATAAAACTCATAAAAGTGGAAATCAAGAGAACAAACATCCAGTTAAAAATGTTGTATATATCTAAACAGAGAATTCTCAAAAGAGGAAACTCAAGCAGTTGAGAAACACTTAAATATGTTCAACATCTGTTGAGAATTCTCTGTTTAGTTCTATAGCCCATTTCTTAATTGGACTGTTGGGCATTTTGATGTCTAATTTCTTGAATTCCTTATATATTCTGGATATCAGTCCTCTGTCAGATGTGGGGTTGGTGAAGATCTTTTCCCATTCTGTAGGCTGTCGCTTTGCCTTGTTGACCGTATCCTTTGCTCTACAAAAGCTTCTCAGTTTCAAGAGGTCCCATTGATTGATTGTTTCTCTCAGAGTCTGTACTACTGGTGTTCTATTTAGGAAGTGATCTCCTATGCCAATGCGTTCAAGACTACTTCCTACTTTCTCTTCTAGCAGGTTCAGAGTAGCTGGATTTATGTTGAGGTCCTTGATCCACTTGGACTTAAGTTTTGTGCACGGTGATAGATATGGATCTATTTGCAGCCTTCTACATGTTGATATCCAGTTTTGCCAGCACCATTTGTTGAAGATGCTTTCTTTTTTCCATTGTGCACTTTTGGCTTCTTTGTCAAAAATTATATGTTCATAGGTGTGCGGATTAATGTCAGGGTCTTCAATTCGATTCCATTGGTCCACATGTCGGTTTTTATGCCAGTACCAAGCTGTTTTTATTACTGTAGCTCTATAGTAGAGCTTGAAGTCAGGGATCGTGATGCCTCCAGAAGTTGTGTTATTGTACAGGATTCCTTTGGCTATCCTGGGTTTTTTGTTTTTCCATATGAAGTTGAGTATTATTCTTTCCAGGTCTGTGAAGAATTGTGTTGGTATTTTGATGGGGATTGCATTGAATCTGTAGATTGCTTTTGGTAAGATTGCCATTTTTACTATGTTAGTCCTGCCTATCCATGAACAAGGAATAGGAGACCATGGTAAATGAAGACCACGTGAGAATAGGAAGAAGCAAAGTGCTAGAGAGGCCCACAGAAATCCACAAAGATACCCACACAACAGACTGCTGGCAATGGTCGAGAGACAGCCCGAACTGACCTACTCTGGTGATGGGATGGCCAAACACCCTAATTGTTGTGCTAGAAACCTCATCCAACTACTGAGGGATCTGGATGCAGAGATCCATGACTAGGCCCCAGGTGCATCTCTGGGAGCCCAATTAGCGAGAATGAGGAGGGTTTATATGAGCGAGAATTGTTGAGACCAAGGTTGGATAAAGCACAGGGACAAATAGCCAAACGAATGGAAACACATGAACTATGAACCAATGGCTGAGGGGTCCCCACTGGATCAGGCCCTCTGAATGGGTGAGACAGTTGATTGGCTTGATCTGTTTGGGAGGCATCCAGGCAGTGGGACTGGGTCCTGTGCTCATTGCATGAGTTGGCTGTTTGAAACCTGGGGCCTATGCAGGATTGTTTGGCTCGGCCTGGGAGGAGGGGACTGGACCTACCTGGACTGAGTCTACCAGGTTGATCTCAGTCTGTGGGGAAGGCTTTGCCCTGGAGGAGGTGGGAATTGGGGGGGGGTGGGCTGGGGAGAAGGTGAGGGGGGTGGGAAGGGGGAGAACAAGGGAATCCGTGGCTGATATGTAGAACTGAATTGTATTGCAAAAAAAAAAAAAAAACTTTCAAAACTTTTGCTTAACATTGGTATACTAAGTCAAAGAAAGGTTAGTTCTCTGATCCAATACTACAGCACTAAGTGCAAGTATAGCTAGCATTGAAGTTTCCACACTCTAGCCCCAGATACAATCTTCACCCAAGACCACACAGGGTAAGTGGGAGAACAGCATCTCAGCCTAGACCTTCTGTATCCATAGTGTCACCAACGTGGCCTGCTTCATAGGGAGAAAGTGATAATTTTTAGAAAGCTCATTGATGAGGGTGATGGTGATAAGAAGGAACATTCCTTCTGCTCTCCAGGCACCAAATGATAAAACCTTCTGTCAATTCTGTAGCAAAGGAGATAATTATTCCCAGCATCTCTTTCCAGACCAGGCAACCACTAACATGTTTCTAGCATTTCACAGACTATCCTGAGTTATTTTTCCAACTCTTTAAAAAGTTCCTGATGAAAACAGACTCTTTCCCATAGGAGCAATCAATTGCAGAAGTTCCTCAGGTAATGATGGAACTGCACAGAGCCTGCCAACACTGGTTGGACTAAGGTGAATCTTTGTTCCCCTAGCCTATCAGCTCAACCTCTAGGCTTTGGGTCCAGGGGCACAACCCCTGGGACCCACACCACTGCCCATGGCAGACCTAGTCTCAGGCCAGCAGGCAGGTCTCCTGCAAGCAGGCCAGACTACCACCATCCCCCAACCCACCCTCCAAACCCACCAACACTCCAAGACCACAGCTTCTCCCTGAGACAGAGCCCACCAGAGCCCATAGGACTAAGAGGACCAACAGCTCTGACTGGAGGAAGAGAGGCCCCCTCAGACACTGACACTACTTAGACCAAGTGGAGGAAGAAACAGGCAGATGCTGGTGCAAAAATACAATCAGAAACATAAAAACAAATATGGTACCACCAAAACCTAGTGGTTGTACATCAGCAAGAACTGAACATCCCAATGCAGAAGAAGCAGAAGAAATCAACCTTAAAAATTACTTTAACAAGATGATAGAGGCCTTCAAAGAGAAAATGAAAAATTCCCTTAAAGAAATTGAGGAAAGGACAAACAAAAATTTGAAAGAAATTGAAAATTCCTTAAAGAAAGCCAAAAAACAAAGAAAAAGCAATTAAACAGGTGAAGGAAACAGTTTAAGATTTAAAAACTGAAATAATGACAATAAAGAAGACACAAATTGAAGGAATGTTGGAAATTGAAAATCTGAGTAAATGAACAGGAACTACAGATACAAGCATAACCAACAGAATGCAAGAGATGGAAAAGAGAATTTCTGGCATTGAAGATATGATAAATGAAATAGATTTGTCAGTCAAAGAAAATATTAAAGCCAACAAGTCATAACACAAAATGTATAGGTAATCTGGGACACTATGAGAAGACCAAACCTAAGAATAATAGGGATAAAAGAAGGATAAGAATACCAGCACAGAAAATATATTCAACAAAATCACAGAAAAAACCTTTCCCAACCTAAAGAAGGTAATGCCTATGAAGATACAAGAAGCTTACAGAACATCAAATAGACTTGATCCAAAGAAAGTCCCCTCGCAATATAATAATCAAACCACTAAATATACAGAATAAACAAAAAATATTAAGAGTTGCAAAGTAAAAAAGCCAAGTAACATTCAAAGGCAGATCCATTAGAATAACACCTGACTTCTCAATGGAGTCTCTGAAAGCCAGAAGGTCCTGGACAGACATTATGCAGACACTAAGAACCATGGATGCCAACCCAGACTACTATACCCAGCAAAACTCTTAATCTCCACAGAGGGAGTAAATAAAATATTCCAAGATAAAACTGAACTTTCAATACCTTTCCACAAATCCAGCCCTACAGAAAGCACTAGAAGGGAAAATCCAACCTAAGGGAGTCAGATACACCCACGAAAACACAGGCAAGAGATAGTTACACACCAACAAATACCAAAGAAGGGAAACACACAACACTACCACCAAAAAATTACAGGAATTAACAATCACTGGTCACCAATACCCTTTAATATAAATGGATTCAATTTACTTCTAAAAAGACACAGGCTAACAGAAGGATACAAAACAGAATTTGTCCTTCGGCTGCATACAAGAAACACAATTAAACTTCAAAGACAGACACTACCTCAGAGCAAAAGGCCGGGAAAAGACATTCCAACCAAATGGACTCAAGCTAGCTGGTGTAGTTATCCTAATATCTAATAGACTTCAAACTAAAATCAACTGAAAGAGGTTGGGAATGACATTACATATGCATCACAAGAAAAATCCATCAAGATGAAGTCTCACTTCTGAACATTTATGTCCAAATGCAAGGGCATACACATTTGTAAAACAAACATTACTAAAGTTTAAACCAAATATCAAACCCCACACGCTAGGAGTGGGAGACTTCCACACCTCACTCTTAACAATGGACAGA